GAGATCGCGCCATTGCACTCCAGCCTGGGTAACAAGAGCGAAACTCCGTCTAAAAAAAAAAAAAAAAAAATAGGTTTCTTTGGTGTACAGTTCTGTGAATTTTAACATACATATATATAGATGCATATAATCAAACCACAATCAGAATATAAAGAAGTTTCATCACCCCTCAAATGCTTTCATGCTCTCCCTGTAACATCACACCCACACTTTATCCATAACCTCTAGATAAATTTATTTTTTATTTTTATTTATTTATTTTTTTGAGACGGAGTTTCACTCATGTTACCCAGGCTGGAGTGCAATGGCGCGATCTCGGCTCACCGCAACCTCTGCCTCCTGGGTTCAGGCAATTCTCCTGCCTCAACCTCCTGAGTAGCTGGGATTACAGGCACGCGCCACCATGCCCAGCTAATTTTTTGTATTTTTAGTAGAGACGGGGTTTCACCATGTTGGCCAGGATGGTCTCGATCTCTTGACCTCGTGATCCACCCGCCTCGGCCTCCCAAAGTGCTGGGATTACAGGCTTGAGCCACCGCGCCCGGCCGATAAATTTATTTTCTGTAACTATAGTTTAAAAAAATTTAAATATTTTAAAAATTGTATTTTATTTTAAGTTCTGGGATACATGTGCAGGATGTGCGGGTTTGTTACACAGGTAAATGTGTGCCATGGTGATTTGCTGCACCTATCGACCAGTCACCTAGGTATTAAGCCCAGCAGATATTGACTATTTATCCTGATGCTTTCTCTCCCCTGCTGCCCCACCCACAGGCCCCAGTGTGTGTGTTCCCTTCCCTGTGTCCATATGTTCTTACGGTATTTTCTGTAACTATAGTTTTATCACTTTAAGAATATTTCATACAATTTGAGAATATCACATAAATTGAATCAGATAGATAGATAGAATAAATAGAATGTTACCTTTTGAGTATGGCTTTCTTTCTCTAAGAATAAGGCTTCTGACAAGATAAATATTTATTTATTTATTTATTTATTTAGTTTGAGACAAGTGTTGCTCTGTCCCCCAGGCTGGAGTGCGGTGGTGTCATGTCGGCTCATGGCATCTTCTATCTCCTAGGTTCAAGCAAAGCAATTCTTGTGCCTCAGTTTCCCAAGTAGCTGGGATTACAGGTGAGTGCTACTCTGCATGGCTAATTTTTGTATTTTTAGTAGAGTTGGGGTTTTGCCATGTTGGCCAGGCTGGTCTTGAAGTCTTGGCTTCAAGTGATCCAGCCGCCTCAGCCTTTCAAAATACTGAGATTACAGGCATGAGCCACTGCACCTGGCAACATTTTTTATTTTAACAAATTCCAACTTATCAAGTTTTTGCTTTCATGGATCATGTTTTTGGTGTCATGTCTAAGAATTCTTTGCCTAACTGCAGTTTATGAAGATTTTCTCCTATTTTTTTTCTAAAAGGTTTTATAGTTTTATATTTTACATTTTGAAGGTAAGATGTGAGATTTAGGTCAACATTTTCTTTTTTTATTGCATTTGAAGAACATGAACATTTTCTTTTTTATTGCAGTTTTATTAGTGATTAGCACTGAAAAGTAGAAATGACTCAAAAGTCCGCCAGCAGGTAACTAGCATTGCAGTATGTCCATTCAACTGAATACTACTCAGTAATAAAAAGAATAAACTATTGATACAAGCAGGAGAATAGATGAATCTCAAAATAATTGTACTGAGTGAAAGAACCAGACACAATGAATATATACAGTATGATTCCATCCTGTTAAATTCTTGGAACAACAAATGAATCCATAGTAACAGAACATAGAGTAGTGGTTGCCTGGGGCTAGGTAGAGCAGAAGTAAGGATCACTAAGCAGAACAAGGAAACTTTTGGGGGTGAGGGCTGGGTTCATTATCTTAATTGTGGCGATCAATTCTTGGGTATATAAATATGTCAATACTTATCAAATTGTATGCAGGTATGTGGGGCTTATTATATGGCAATTATATCTCAATAAAGCTGTTATAATGTTTTTGTTAGTTGTATATGAGCAGCATTTCCACAGCTCATCTTAAAGATATTTTAAAATGTATCCTCTCTTTTTACAGCAAAATGGTCACATTTTTGTCAGTTGATAATATTTTTTTTTTTTTTTAGAGTTGGAGTTTTGCTATGTTGGCCAGGCTGGTCTCAAACTTTTGGCCTCAAGTAATCCATCTGGCTTAGACTCCCAAAATGCTGAATTACAGATGTGAGCCATCATGCCCATCAGAAAATAAATTCTTGAAAGATTCCTGGTACTTTACCAACTTACACATTAAATCAATCTTCCCATTTTCTTTGTCCAATTAAGTTTTAAAGCAAAATAATATAAATATTTGTAGACCCAAATTGTAAACACATTTCAGTTTTGAACAACAATATAAAGTAAATACAATATGGAACTAAAATTAGAACACCAAGTTTGCACTGATATTTTTAAAACTTCTCGGGGGAAATGAGCTATTGAGCTTAGGGATACAATGCATTAAATTAGAAGGTTTTTCTCTTCACTAATGAAAATTTTTGTTTTTTAATTGTCTGTTGTTTTCTTTCAAATTTGGGTTTTAATGGTGACCAATTAATATTGCTCAAAGTTATAACTTAGATAAACAATTCAAATATCTTAGCAAATTGTAGTTCTGGTTTTTCTCATATCATAATACATGATTTAGTGGATGATGACTCAAAATTTAAAAAATTAAATAACATGGTTAAACAATTTTGTCTAAAATTCCCTTTAGGCTTTAGGTCAACATTCTCTTTATTTTTTCCTTCTGCATATTGATGTCAATTGTTCCATCACTATTTGCACTATTTGTTGAAAGAATATCCTCCCTCCATTGAATTGCTCTTGCACTTTTGCCAAAAATCTATGGGCCAAATCTATTTGGGTCAATTTCTGGGTTCTCTATTCTGTTCCACTGATCTTTGTCTATACTTCTGCTAATATCATGCTCTCTTGATTACTCTAAAGACTTAAAATATAAGAAAGTGATTTCTCCAAATTATTCTTTTTTTCAAAATTATTTTTAGCTATTCTAGTTACTTTGTCTTTCTATCTAAATTTTAGGATTAGCTTGTCTATAGCCACAAAAAAATCATGCTGGATTTTTATTGACATTGTATTAAATCTATAGATCAATTTGGGGATAATTGACATCTCCACTATGCTGAATCTTCAGGCCTTTATCATTGTATGTCTCTCCATTTATTTAGATTTTCTTTAATGTCTTTCATTAACATTCTGTAGTTTTCATCATACAGACTAGAAAATGTTCTGTTAGATGTATACCCATTTTTCTTTGGAACCTATTATGTATGGTAGTGCTTTTAAAATTAGTTTACAAACATATATTCCTAAAATATAGAAATACTGTGGATATTTGTGTCTTCACTTTGTATTTTGTGATTATGTTAAACTCACTTGTAAGTTATAGTAGTATTTTTGCAGGACGGTTTCATTTCCCTCCAGATTGGACTCTGAAGTCTTGACCTTTCTTCCAGCCTTTCCTTAAGTCAATTCCTTCTCTGAAGCCTTTCCGGTTCCCTTTAGCAGATGTGATTTTCTTCATCTGTTAAATATGCAAATCATTATGTCCCCACATTTCGCTTGTCTTTTTTGTCTATAATATGGTGAATTGAATACTTCATTCATTCCTCAGTACAATAAGGGATTATCAGTGTTAAATACTTTTAATCACAATTCTGTCTTTTCTCACCCTGGAATATTGGGCAAATTTTGTAATCTTTTTGGTCTTCAGTTTTCATTTGTAATGGGTGAAATAATAATTATTTTGTAGAGTTATTGTGAGAATAATGCATATTAGGAGCTCACTAAATATTAGGTTTTTTTCCCCCTTTAGAGTTACACACTCTTGAGAACTTACTGCTCCATACTTGCTTGAGTTCTCTGCAGTATCTTGGATAAAGTACAGATATATATTTAATTGTATTAGAAGAACAGGACAAGGAACATTGTATTTAGTAAGCTCTGGTCTTACAACTGATCATTGTATCTATAACAAATTTTAATATTATATGATTTGTGAGGATCATTAGGAAATTAGCCAACATGCAGCATTCACATAAGCAAAGCAAATAGAGAAAGTAAATTATATCAGATTCTCTAAGCAGTGATTAAACTAAATTGAGGTCGTGATTAGCTAGGTAAGGGATATGGTTAGAGGAAGGCAAGAAAATGGCACCCTTTAGTGAGCTGCTCAAGAATGGATGATGTTATGGTTTGAATGTGTGTCCCAGAAATCATGTGTCGGAAACTTAATCCTCTGCAACAGTATTAGGAGGTAGGGCTTAATGGAAGTTGTTTAGATCACAAGGGTTCTGCCCTCATGAACAGATCAATGCTATTATAAAAACGGCTTGTGGGAATGGATTCCCTCTCTTGTGCTCTCGTCCTTCTGCCTTCCACCATGTTGATGGTACAGCAACAAGGGCCTCACCAGACGCTAGCACTTTGATCTCAAATTTTCCAGCCTCCAGAAGTGTGAACCAATAAATTTCTGTTCATTATAAGTTACCTAATCTTAAAAATTCTGTTATAGCAGGACAGGATGGACTAAGACAGATGGGGGTATGAGGAGGACTAACAGTTTGAAAGAGATTATTTTGGGATTTCAGGTAGAAAGGCAAGCAGGGGAGCATTATGCACTTTGTATTTTTTTTTTTTTTTTTTGAGAAGGAGTGTCGCTCTTGTTACCCAGGCTGGAGTGCAATGGCACCATCTCAGCTCACCACAACCTCTGCCTCCTGGGTTCAAGCAATTCTCCTGCCTCAGCCTTCCGAGTAGCTGGGACTACAGGCGTGTGCCACCATGCCCAGCTAATTTTTGTATTTTTAGTAGAGACAGGGTTTCACCATGTTGACCAGGATGGTCTCGATCTCTTGACCTTGTGATCCACCTGCCTCGGCCTCCCAAAATGCTGGGATTACAGGCGTGAGCCACCGCACCCGGCCTATTTTTTTTTTTTTAAATTCAGTCTCCGTAGAGATTGTCAAAAATTGCCAGTGCAGACTATATTTTAAGTTGTCATGGTGGGCTATTGGGAAAAGTTTTCAATTAGCAATAATCGTGCCTCAGATAAACTTCACCGGCTGCGATACTGCCACTGCACAAAGCTATGCTCTTTGTATTAGAGGAGAAGAGTAGTATCTTCACCATCACTGGTGATGGTGAAGTTTCCTGGCAGAGTTAGAATTCTTGTTGCTTTCACAGTGCCACTAGGCTATCTGACAGGCTGAGTCTAGAAGCACCTGTTTGTGCTCTACATGACAAATAGAAATGACTTTAGCTTTTAGAAACTTGAAGTTAACTGGGATCTTAGTCAGTTTGGGATGCTGTAACAAAAATGCCATGGACTAGGTGGCTTAAACAACAAACTTTTATTTCTTAACATTTCCACAGGCTGGGAAGTCCAAGATCAAAAAGTTAGAACATCTAGTGTCTGGTGACAGCTTAGGTTGTAGACAGCTGCCTTCTCTCTATATCCTCACATGATTGAGAGCTTTTTTCTTTTAAGGGCACTAATTTCACTTATAAGGGCTTTACTCTCATGACCTAATTACTTCCCAAAGGCCCTACCTCCAAATAGGATCATATGGGGGATCAGGTTTCAACACATGGATTTTGAAGAAACACAAACATTCAGTTCATAGCATTAAGAAAGCACAATCATTTGCAGAAATTGCTGACATCTAAATATTAGCTGGGTCAGTCTGTGGACCAAGAAAAAAAAAGGAAAATATTTGTGGGATCATAGCATTAGAGACTATGATATATCTGTTAATGTGTATGTGTCATTTGGAGTATATAAATGAAGCTTGTTCTCATGTGGCAGTGTAAAAACAGGTTGTGTTCCTAAGGGAGTCCAGCAGGGTGCACTAAGAGGCCAGGGGAAGAGAACACACTGGGAAATTGTGCAACCTCACAGGAGCTGAACATCATATTAACTTTATTGTGACCTTCAATGCAGAATTACCTCGGCAAGGATTGGAGGGCATTGAGACAGAAAAAGATAAAAGGTAGCAGTCAAATATCACAAAGTATTTCTGGAATATTATTTAAAAATACCACTTAAACATTTAATCTTTGTATCTAGATTAAAAAGTATCCAGCAATAATTCACATGCTTTGCCACTAAAACAAGCTATAGAAATTTTACTTAATGATTTTATTCTTTATAATATATGCCTGGTACATACTAGGTAAGATGTTTTTCATAGCTCTTGGAAATAACTATGCCTTCTCCCCCTTCCCCGCCCACTGCTATGCCTTTATCAGGTATAAGATAGGGATAATAGGTGCTAAGGTTTGAATGTTCCCTCCAAAACTTGTTAAGCTTAATTGTCATTGTGACAGCATTAAGAGAGGCAACCGTTAATAGGTGATTAGGCCACAAGGTCTCTGTCTTCTGCATAAATTGTTTAATGTCATAATCACAGGGGTGTATTATTATCGTCAGAATGAGTTAGTTATTGTGAGAGCAGACTTGTTATATAAGTGAGGTTGCATCCCTCTTGCTGTCTTTCTCATGTTCTCTTGCTTTTCTGCCTTTTACCATGGGATGACACAGCAGGAAGGACCTTACCAGATGCAGGCACCTCAACTTAGGCTTCTCAGACTCCAGAACTGTAAGAAATAAATACTTGTTCTTTGTAAACTGCCCAGTTTTATGTACCATGCTATATCAGCCAAAAATGGACTAAGACACAAAATTGATACCATTAAGTGGGGCTATTGCTATTAAAAATGTTGTTGAAGTGACTTTGGGAGTAGGTAATGAAGAGATGCTAGAAGAATTTTGAGGAGCAGGCTAGCAAAGCCTAGATAGGCGTAGATTGCTGTAAAAGAGCTGTAAGAGTGATTCTGGTGAGAGTTGAGAAGAAATGTAGAGAAGTCTGGAACTTCTTAGAGATTACTTAATTGGTCATGATTAGAATGTTGGTAGAAACATGAATGGTAAAGGCCATTCTGATGAGGTTTCAATGGAAATGAGGAACAAAGTATTGGAAACTGGCATAAAAGTTATTGTTGTGACACAGTTGCAAGGAACTTAGAAGAATTGTGCCCATGTCCTAGGACTTTATGGAAGGCAGAATTTAAAAGCAATGAACTAGAATGTGTGGCAGAAGAAATTTCTAAGCAAAACATTGAAGAAGCTGCATGGCTACTTTTAACTGCATACAATATGATATGAGAGGAGAGAAATTTGAGACAGGCTTTATAATAAAAGAAAAACAGAGCAGAAAAATTTGGAAAATTTGCAGCTTAGCCATTGTATTAGGGTTCTCCAGAGGGACAGAATGAATAGGATAGACATATATGTAAAGGGGAATTTATTAAGGAGTATTGACTCACATGATCTTAAGGGGAGGTCCCTCAATAGGCTGTCTGCAAGCTGAGGAGCAAGGAGGCCAGTCTAAGTCCCAAGGCTGAAGAACTTGTAGTCTGATGTTTGAGGGCAGAGGCATCCAGCATGGGAGGAAGATGTAGTCTGGGAGGCTAAGCCAGTCTAGTCTTTTAACATTCTTTTGCCTGCATTTATTCCGGCTGTGCTGGCAGCTGATTTGATTGTGCCCACCCAGATTGAAGGTGGGTCTGCCTTTCCCAGTCCACTGACTCAAATGTTAATCCTTTTGGCAACACCCTCACAGACACACCCAGGAAGTCCAAATCTTTCAATCCAACCAGATTGACACTCAGTATTTTTTTTTTTTTTT